AGCTGCCGAGGGAGGGTCGCCCCAGCCCTCCCGGCCCCGCCCACGCCCCGCGATTGGCCGGCGCGCGGGGCGGGGCGGAGCTGGCAGGTGCGCGTGCTCTTGTTTTGCTCCTGAGGCGGGGCTGCAGGCTAGCTCGCGGGAGTCCCCGCTGCCCTGGCCGCCCGCGGGGGCCTGGCAGGTGCTGCGGGTGCTCCCCAGCCTCGGAGCCCCCGCGCCCAGTAACTCGACGGGGATGGACCAGCGGCCCCGAGCGCCCGACGCACAGTGGAGTCTCCCCCAAGGACCGCCCCTCCAAACCGGCGTGGCTGTGTGGATGGGGCCAGAGGGGGCGTCAGGGAAGCTGGAAGGGAAGGGGGGGGGTCTCTTCTTTTCTCGTTGTTGGGTACCTTTCTGCCAGGCAGGAGCGTGAGGACTAAAGAAGACATGGCCTCTCCAACGCCGGCCCTCCTCCTCCAACTAGAGATCCGTATCTGGGGTGACCCCCCCCCACACTGAGACAGTGCAAACACACTCATTCCTGCACCACTGTTGTAGCCAGATGCAGGACTAAATGCTGGGTAACAAAGGGGCGCTGGGTTAAGGTGCCCAGGCCTCTGTCCTGCCCCTGCCCACCCGCCCCAATAAAAAAAAGCCTTGTTTCCAGTGCCTGGCTCAATACCTGGCCCACCGCTGTGTTCAGGTAACTGCATAAGAGATGGCCCTCCAGACATCCTCTCATTTTGGCACCAGACTGGAATATCAGATGGCCCGGGGTCTTCTAAAGCCCTTGTTATATATAAGTGGGACCATTTCCTCGTAACCATGGTGACAAGACATTCTCACTCCCAATCTCAGAGGCTAATGCTTTTGTTCAGTGGTTTGCATGTTGGGACTGCAGGTAGGAATGCATCTTTCCTCACCTCCAGCACACCTGGCAGGTGAACTTCACACCCAGAGGTCTGACAACCATAGCCAAATTCTCCTCTCAACCCAAAGGAGGGAAAGGGGGTATGATGTCGAGTTCAGGGGGAGGAGGGCCTTGCTTTTGTCTGAATAGTTTCACCTGAAGATCAATGCATTACCTCTATTCTATCTTTGGCTGAGAAGAAGGAAACATGACCACTGTATTTTCAGGAGCCACTCAGCATGTCCAGCCCAGCAGGCTGTGTGGTGCCTTAAATGAGCTGAACAGGGAAGCCAAAAAACTCCAAATGTTCTGGAAAGAGGATTCAAATCCACAAACCTCCTGGGGAGAGATGAGGCCAAAAGGCAGAGACAAAGGTGCCTACTTCTGGGGCCCCGGGTTGGTGGCTGGTCCTGCAGCCCACCACCTGCTCCAGGACAGGAAGGACAAGACAAGAAGCAGTAAGAGGAAGACATGAAACTCAGGAGAGGAGGATTTCCCCATGAGCATCTGGCCGGACACTGCCCAGTTATGTGGTCAGGGCAGGCGATGTGACATCGTAGTCTTGTGGCGCTGGCCTCTATTTTCTGTCCACTGTCCACTCTCCTCACGCCTATGGATGAGTGCAGAACTTCCTCTGGAAACCTCCCAGCCCTGCCCTCACTCTGTTCTGTATCATGTGATTTATAGCAACAGTTGGTCAGGAACTAGAGGTGTAAGGCAATGCTTGCCGGGCTTCTGGGGACAGCCAAGGGGACAGTGTGTAGACCCTGAGTGTGAAGCCAGAGATGGAAGACAATGGGAAAGTGAGTCCTTTTTGGCACGGCATGCGCTGCTGGCTTTTCCATGACAGGCACTGAAAGAGTCCTCACTTATACATCTGTAGGCTACCCAGCCTATAAGACTCTCAGCCATGTGGGAAATAGTGCATGTCTAGCACTTTCCACCATGCATGGCGCTAGCAAGCAAGCTAGTCCCAATCCTTACTGGTATCATCCTTCTCGTGCCAAGTCAAGGAGTAAGCGAACAGTAGAATAAGTCGGATCTGTGACATTTGTATCGGGACTGTTGGTTGTTAAGTAACAGAAACCCAATCCCAACTGGCTTACGCTAAAGATAATGCATAGTCTTAGGTAACAGAAAGGTTCGGGGTGTGCTGGTTTCAAGCCTGCCGGCACCAAGGACCCATGCTGTATCCTCAGCTCTTGGTCTCTAGCTCTTTCCATGCCTCTACTTTCCATCTGCTGGCTTCCCCCTCAATAAGACTGTCTCTGTAAAGCCCCCCCCCAGCAGCTTCAGGCTTGCATCCTATCAGCCAGCAGCCAGTCACTGTACCCCAGTTTGGGGGGGTGCCAAACACTGATTAGCTGGGCCAAAGAGGCCAAAGAGAAGAGCAGCCCCACTGGAACCATCCAGAAAGATTGGGATAGGGTGCTTCACAAGGCCATTTGGGGGTACTCTGAGCAGAAGTGTATGTGCCAAGCAGGCAAACACAAGAGGAGCTCATCACAGGACTGTCCAGTCCAGACCCCAAACCCAGTGGAGATTTCTGCTAAGACATCAAGTCACAGAGCCAGGCAGCCCCTCCTCCCCACAGTAGGCCTTGAGTTATTCAACCAAGGTGCCATATTTCTCGCTAGACTTTCACTTCTCTGGATCAAGCTCCCCTGGGCATCCCCCCTCCTCCCAATATCGCTTCTTAGACTGTGCCCCTTCTTCCTGCTTACCTTTCTCTGCATGGGTTCCATTGACTCAGTGTCCCTCGTGAAACTTGGGGTGCATCACTGGCCACCTATTCAAGGCTCTCCTTCCTCCCGCTGAGGAGCTGGTGTCCCCAGGCTCCACTCAGACTGCTGGTAAAGACAATCTTCCCGGCCACCTGATATCCCAGGGACAAGCAGGTCAGTGGACTCCACCACCGGGGACTGAATTCGCTTTCCTTATAATTATGTCATTCCAGTTGCCTGGTTTGCACTTTATCCCCCAAATTCCATTTTAAGGACTGTCCAATTTATCTCTGCCAGATGTCCAGCCACTGAGGCTGGGAAATGGCAGGGAGATGGGGGTGCCCCGAGCACCCAGTCTTTGGTGCAAGGGTTCTGCTCTTGGTGTCCGGTGAAGAGGGGGCAAGGGGGGGCACAGGTAGTTCAGACATCCAGATGGGCTCACCATGGCCCTGGGGACTGGTATGAGTGAAACTCCTGTGCAGAGCCGGCCGCAAGGGGCTAAGGCTGGCTTGGCATCATGGATTACCTTACCCCTGCAGGTCCCAAACGCAAGATCCCTCCAGAGAACCCTTCGGGGACACCCCGTGGCTTCCCAGCCTCCCCGCTCCCAGCTAGCTAGGAAGAAATCTAATGAATATATTCTTTATTAATACAGTCTTCTTCATATTTTGGTGATTTGGCTTTCAACAATTTTGACCTGGAGCCTTCTTTGATTACAGGGAGGCTGGCTCTGAATTAACGGAAGTGGACCCCATTGGCTGACTTTCTTCTGCTCAACTACAGAGCTACACCAACCTGAACTTCATTTTCCAGGACCTATGACTTTCACCCCACATTCAGCATACACTCAGAGGTTGCGGGCTCTGGGGGCTCCCAGGCGGCTCAGGCTGTTGAACATCCAACTCTTGGTTTCGGCTCAGGTCATGATCTCGGGGTCCTGGGAACAAGCCCCGTGTTGGGCTCTGAGCTCAACACGGAGTCTGCTTGAGATTCTCTCCCTCCCTCTCCGTCTGCCTCTCCCCCCACTCACAGGTGCGCCCTCTCTCTCTCTCAAATAAATAAATAAATCTTTAAATTAAAAAAAAAAAAGATTGCCTGCTCTGCCCAAAGCTGATCTCCACATCGGAACACGGGGTGGTGTGGCAGGGTGCAAAATGGAGAAAACCCTGCCCTAAAGAGTCACCACATCCAAAAGCTGAGGTTCTCATCTAGACTGGGTATTTTTCTAACTCGTTCTGTGAGCTTAACGCACTTTAGGGGTCATTCTTTCCCTAAAGCTGCAGGAGCCCTTGCCGTGTAGTTTAGGGGGAGGCAAAGTGGGGACACATGGGCCTCCTGGTCTTCAGTGACCCTGTCCCTTTTGGAGCCAATCCTTCAGGCTGTTTCCAGCACCCGCCAAACCCCCAGTGTGGAAAAGTGCCCACCCTGCCCATGTTCCACCAGGGGAACATCTCCCTCATTTGACATATCAGCATTTCATGGAGGAAAACAAAGAACTAAAGAAGGCTGGTCCCCCTGCCCTGTCCCCAGCCCCCCTTCTACCACATCAAGGGCTGCACAGTGACAATGTGTGAGGGTTTGTGAGATTGCTTTTCCCAAAGCCTCAAGGAAACTCAGTCCTGGAGGGGATGGTATAGGGTGGGATTTGCTTGGTTGCTGGCTTGCTTTTTACAACCCAAAGCCCTCATTCTGAAGGTAAATGTTTTTAGACAAAGAAAAGCAAAATGTTGGTACTGCACCAGGCAGCAGGGAAAGGGGCTCATCCCTTCTCTTAGCAGACAGAGGTGGGAGATGTGACAGAGACTCCTGGAGCTGGGCCAGGAGGGATGAATCCCACTGCTCTTGTATCCCCATACCTACGACCATTCAGCAGGTGCACATTCCTGGAGGCGTCCCTGTGGGAAACTTGCCCTAGGCTGGGCTAGAGACCTACCTCTGGTCATGGCCCCTGACTTGTTGGCTTCTCTGATCTTTTCTCTGTCATGTTAACAAAGAATTAGGGCCACTGGGCCTTTTCTACCTCTGTTTACCTAAAAGCCAACACCTCCCCTTTAAAAAAGGAAGAGAGAGAAAGAATGAGGGAGAGAAAAGAAGACTTTGGATGAGTGAGAGAGAATGAGAAAGACAGCCAAGGCAGGAGGGGTGGGGAGGGAAGGAAGAAAGAAAGAATATTAAGAGGTAGGAGCAAGTGCAGAGGAAAACCGTGTCCCAGCCCTTGTCGTTGGGATGGGAAAGGGCAGCAGACACAGTGTATCAGGGAGAGTGGCAGCCTAAGCCTGGGTATGAGTACCAAGAGGGAACTC